GTTTTTCCAAGGAATTTCCTACTAGCAGTTTCAAAACAAGAGGCCTACAAAAACCATTTAAAAAGAAGGCGAGTCGGGGTCTATAACCCAAAACAAGATGGTGGAACATACGACAAGGACAACACTGTGGATTTACAAAAGGGTAAGTCAAAAATATAAACCATAATCACCATATTAAATGACCATAATTAAAAAATAAAGATGCATAAACTAAGGACATACCAGCAGGAAAGCAAATATGAATTAGGTTACCAGAAAGTTTATGAGACACCTAGACAGAGGTCATGTGACAAGCCTATCATCACACGCTAGATAGGGTTAAACCTGGGTACTGTCTTATTTGTTTCGTTTTATTATTTTAATTTGGACATTAAAAATTAAAAAACCCTTCTTTACACAAAGAGCTGTGGGTGTCAGAAATAGGTTTCTCAGCTAGGTGGTTCAAATAGTCACTACACCGGCATGTCAGAGTAATAACCTCGCTTTGAATCACACAGAACCAACAGTATCTGCTCACACCACAATACAAAAACAGAACTCAATCGTTTTAACACTGGAACCCCTCTAATCTGTCTGCTCACTATCCATTTGCAGCAAGCTAAGATTGTACATTTGGAAACAAAAACACTGTATTAATCTTTAATTTAAGGCTAAGAGCAGTCATGGAAAAAAGACGCACATGTCAGGTGCATTTGGAAATTAAGTTTTGAATCCTGTTTCACTGTATACAACACATCACTGTGGTGGAGAAAAGCTGAACCGTTGAGTAGGGTTGCTTGTGTTCTTCAGGTTTCATTGGCTTTTATTTTGGAAGCTTTTGGCAAAAGTATTGTTATACTATTTACTGAATCAACAGCCCTGTCAGGAAAAATAATAAAATCTCAGTCTACATCGAAAATGAGAACATACAATGACTAGCTGAAAAATCAGGGTCAGAAAACGTTGAGAAGAGCCTTCTGAATCTGGAACAAGGGTAACATTTACATAACACTGAGGTTTTGACATGTCAAACTCACATAATACAAATACACAAAGTATCCATGTTCACTGATATTAAACCTCATTGTAATTTATTTCTTGGTACTGATTCTGGACTGATTACTATATATAATTATTTAATTAATAATTGCTTACACTTATACAGCACTTTTCTGGACACTCCACTCAAAGCGCTTTACAGGTATTGGGGACTCCCCTCCACCACCACCAATGTGCAGCACCCACCTGCATACATTTGTTTGTTTAAGCACAAAGAGAAATCAACAAGATCTGATCAGATATATAACCTTTCCATTGTTCAGTTTTCACAGTTCTTAGTGTGGGTCTCATCCCTGTGCTTGTCTGAATGCATCAGTTCTCTTAATAGTATTTTTTTTTTACATTGTTAAATTCAGTTTCACTGTCATTTTTGTAACCCATCATTCCAAATAGCATCTTTCTTTCCCATTCTCACCCCATGGATCAGCAGCTTAAAACTTATCTGGGACCAAAACTTTATTCCAACATCAAGCAAGCAGGTGCTCCCTGTGTTCCTGGCAAAGACCTCTATCGTCCTTAAAGGCCACTTGAATGAGAGTGGGGGACTAGCGGCCCTAACTTCAAAGCTGCACAGTGAACAATCAATCAGTTAAACATCCGTGCCCAAGATGAGGATGTTCTCACCCGCAAGAAAGCAGAACACAGAGCACGTCACAGGAAAGAGAAGCCTGAAGATCTCGGCTCTTATTATCGCTCAGACCTGACGTTGAACAATTGCAGTTAGGTCTGTAAGTGATGAGCACACTGCTGACGTTTACAGTGCAGTGGCTGTGGCTCTTCTGAAATTGGTTTACAGCTGAGGAAGTGCGAATGAGAGAAAATTCTGTTAGTGAGAAATATGACCCTGAAATTCTATTTATGCAGTACAACTAGCAAGGCTGGAAAAAAAACAGTGAGACTAAGACTAGGGGGTGAACATCATGGCTCACATGAGAGACATTCTGCTGAATATCCTCCAATCTAACAGTGGGGAAAGCCATAAATCCATTAACCAATAACTGTTTGGAAATACTGCACATTAAGTTTTCATTTGTTTGAAAGGTTCCAAAGCTAGCCACTGCAGAGAACAGCAGTGCCTAGAAAATGCCCCAGAGTGCTGAAAAAGTGCAAAGTTTGGTGACGTGACAGTCATTCAGCATGTACATACAAGACGAGCACAAGAACTGATTTGCCACAGAGCTTCCTCTCATCAATAACTCTACACATTCTGTGATGTTAAAGTTGGAACAGCTACATCATGTGCCTTCAGTGCTTCCAGACAAGTTTTTAGGGGCAGAACATTTTCCATCAGTGATAAGTTCTCAATATCACAAAAACGGAGGTTAGTTCACAACTGTATTCATAGTCAGATTTGTCATCTCTAACTGAAACTTGGGGTAGAGTGCCACCTGATAAATCAACCCATTAGACACATTGATGAATTGCCCTGATATTGTTTTTATATTTGTTAAGAAATGAGTAGAGCACTTACTGTACATTGTATTCCAAAATGTAGCTGGCCAATCAGTGCCAAAAAACGAGCCATTAGAGCTTACAGTATGAGACAGCTTCCTCACCAATGACTATTTTTGGCACAGAAAAGGTTTTATAAATCTATTTAAAGCTGCCAGTGCCCAGTGAATTGCAGGAAAGAAGATTTCAGCCATCCTTGCCTTTCATCAGCAAAATTCTAGCACTAAGCATATTGTTTCTGTTTATAAAAATGTGACAAAATGAAAACTGACCAAATCCTAGGGCAAAGAACAACAGTGTTGATTAGCATGTAAAACCACAATCAGGCCAGAAAGAATGGAAATAACTTCATTTAAGTCTTATAAACACTATTAAAGTTAAAGACAATGTTTAACTGAAAACTGGACAAAATCCAAAGGTAAAATAATGAATAATGTTAATGTTAATAATGTTAATGTTGCTTTATGAGCCCTATACAATCTCTTGCATTAGGAATTCGTCTTTTTGCATACCACGGCTTGCTCTCCATGACAGACAGGGAGAGAAGCTTGGGGTCAGAGCGTAGGGTCAGCCATTTTAAGGGCCTTGCTCGGGGGCCCAACGGAATAGGATTCCTCTGCCAGCTGCCGGATTTGAACCGGCAACCTTCCAGTCACAGGCACAGATCCTTAGCCACAGAGCCCTAATGTGCTAATGATTGTGCAAATATAAAATGTAAATATGATTAAGCAGGTACAGAAGTCCACGATCTAACTGCTAACATTGGCACTGACTGAATGTACTCATTTCTAAACATGGAACCTCAGGTTTAACTAGTTGTTCACACTAAGAAATGTTAGACCCCAAAGTTTACAAAAGAGACATGTTGAGCTACCTGTGCCAGAGCAGTGGACTACATTAGTATTATTTGGCTCTCTGGCACAACAATCTCTACAGGCTTGCGGTCTACTTCCCGAGATTCCAGGGATGGGATTGAAAAGGAAGGGAAGGAAAAGCCTCACCTTTTCAGCTATATTCCTTAACTTTTACAATCTTGTTTTTCTAACTAACTTCAGGTGGAAAGAAAGCCACCTGGGTAACAGGGGTTCCTCAGGACCAGGTCTGAAAACTACATTTGTAGAGAAACCTGGAAAAGGTTAATCCACGCTTACAAACAATGCATTTCTGTGGCAGACTCTGCTATGTCATTGAAGAAAGCAAAAGAAGGCAGTTTGACAGTCATCACAGGCAGTAGTGGCACTACAGGCCCGACCTTGGTGTTGGAGAACAAGCCTAGGCAAACACTTTTACAACTAGATCAGAATGCTTTTCTGATCTATTATAGGGAAATTGAGGGAAAACAAGTACACCAAATGAAAAGTAACTGATACTGCACAATCTTATTCACTCTGTCAAGTGACAACAGTTTAGGACACTCCTAATACTACAAACTGTTCACGAATAAAAGCACTGCACATGCCTAATTCCGCTTTCACACAAAAAACGTTCTAGGTGAATATGCTTACAGAAATGCACGCATAATTTTTAAAAACACAAAACAGTCGAAAATCAAACCCCACTCAGGAATAACTCTGAGATGGAAGGACTCCTGCCTTTTCGTGCCGTAGACTCAGAGATTTTGCAAAACAAACACTCGATTACGGGGAAAAAACAACGTGTTACTTTTAACTGCTGAAAGCTCCCACTCCACGTATATTCGTCAAACAAAACCGATTTCGAGAGACTTCACATGTCGTACTTATAGGAAGCTTTAGCGAAAGCATAATAAAAACGCCAATGAGCTCTATGTTGGCAAATTTATTGAGTTAAATTCGGAATCTGAAGGGAACACCGTCTGAAAAGCAGTACGAGAGCGATCAAAACCGTGAGTTGACCAGATTCAAATCTGATTTTATATTCACGCACTCCGGATCTAAAAAGCGTTAAGAAACTGTCACCTTTTAAGTTTACTGCTGTTTTACATTAATTATTCTCTACTGAAATCAAACTTCCTTCATCAGAGTTAAAATACATGCTGTGATTTCCTCAGCAACAGCAGTCAATTGCGTAAATTTCGACAGTCACGGCGCAAGAGGTTCCGTGGCCATTTCTCACAAGACGGGACACAGAAGCTGCGACTCCGGACACTGGGGCGTCGACAAGATGGACTTTTTCGGTGAATATCGAGGTCAAAAACACTATTACAAGAGGAATAAATGAAACAGAGCACTAGGCATAGGAAGACAAACTGCAAATTTGAAAACAACACGACGGCGGCAGAGCCTACTCCACCCAGATATTCCTAAAATAAGCCAACAATGTGCATTTAAAAATCCCCAAATTCAAACCAGTAGGGCTCCCTAATTCAAAAGTACGCGAAGACCTGTTCGGTAGGAGTTTTTTTTTTTAAAACAAGACCAAAAACGATTCTACATTATGCCCAACGAGAGTCACATCCACACGGCCAACTCCGAAATTTAACCCGCTAGAAGCCTGAGGCCTACAATATTATAAATACATCAGTAACTTACCTTCCCTCTCCGTATAATCCGACCAGAACATGTGAAAGATATTCCAGCCGCTGCGAGAAACTGATTTATCTTATGTTCGCATTTTTTAAAAAGTCAGTTACGTCCTAACTAGGCCACAACCTTAAGCCTGGGACTCACTTTGATGATAAAGGCTTTTTCTAAAACGGCCACAACATAACATGAAACACACAGAACACTACTCTATCCTGATAAACTGCTTTAACTCCACAAATCATAACCTAAACGGAAAATATTTAAAATTTTTCGACAGTTTCTTGCGTCCTGATGTCCTAGTACGTACGCGACTGTGCTCCTATACAAAAACAACACGGCTCATTGACCCCCGAGAAACTACCAAATAATAATATAGCAGCATTAAACCCTAAAAGAGAAGACGGCAACATTATAAAACGTGACTTGACGTTAATCCATCCAAAATCCGTCACTAAAGCCCTGTTAAGTCTCGGCCTCCAACCCTGAACCAAGCCCGGGCGGCACAACAGCAGGGCGGCCTCCTCTCCTGGACAAAGCGGAGCCGAGACTCTCACAATACCGCCGGGCCAAGGCTGCCATCAGGCCTCCCGAAAGCCTAGGGCTTGTCGAGGTCGCCCGGGCGAGTCACACATCACAACAAGCTTCGACGAACTCACAATCTGCGATTGATCCTGGTCAATCTTCAGCTGTTCTTTGAAAAGTCAGCCTGTATCTCCTCGGTCGCCATTTTCCTGTTGCTGGCAGCCCAAGTTCTGAAGCAAGACTGCAACAAAATTGACACTAACTCTGACGAGGAGGCGCCGAGATGCTACCCGGAATCCCGGTTTGTGCAGAGCGCCCCCTGTCTGTCAGCCGAGCGCTACCATTCTGTGACTGATGACATTTTCAAGCAACTCTCATTGAACTATCATTTCGTGTTTTAGTATTGTATTGTGATTAAAATCGCCATATAGAGATAGCTCAAGCTGTTATTGCCTTTGAATTCATAACCTGAAGTCTCATTGAGTAACAATACTTATTGTTCTAACTTTTGAAGGAACTATAAGTTTAAAAATAAATCTAACTGAATGGCAAAACACTTTCTTTTAAGCAATGCAAACTCAAAAACGGTGTGAAAATACAATTTGAATTCCAATGAGATAATTTCTGTGTTTTTAACACATAGCACATAATGTAGTTCAGATGGGTAGCTGCGTCAGCATGTGTAGGCTGCAAAGGAACAAGTAATAACGTTTCGGCCGTGGAGCCTTCTTCAGGTGTCACCTGAAGCTTGACACCTGAAGAAGGCTCCACAGCCGAAATGTTGTGTTCTCTTTCTTCTTTTTTAAGGCACGGAATAAACCTATTACTTGTTCCATAGCACATAATGTTTTGAATTGGAAAATGGTCTGTTAATAACATTGATAGACAAGTACATGGAATTGTGTTGTTTACACAGAAATGTTTAAACTCATAGTGGTATTTTCAAACTGGGCCTGCCAATTTATTAAGAACAATCCTGATTTACATCTTGTTCCTTTAAAATTAGTATAGTTTTTTTATTCGTATAAAATTGTTTAAAAGAAATGCCAGAAAAAAAAATATTGTTCCTATATTATCTCAGAGAAACAAAACATACCAACGAGAAACATAACGTTTTGGCTTTGGAGCCACCCGAAGAAGGCTCCACAGCTGAAACGTTGTGTCTTTTCTTCTCTTTTCAGCATGGAATAAACCTTTAATTGTTCCTCTGCAGCCTACACATGCCGACTCAGCTACCTACTTGAACTTTTTATAATAATAATAATAATAATAATAGCTTACACTTATATAGCGCTTTTATGGACACTCCACTCAAAGTGCTTTACAGGTAATGGGGACTCTCCTCCACCACCACCAATGTGCAGCATCCACCTGGATGATGCGACGGCAGCCATAGTGCGCCAGAACGCTTTCCACACATCAGCTATCAGTGGGAAGGAGAACAGAGTAATGTAGCCAATTCATAGATGGGGGTTATTAGGAGGCCATGATTGGTAAAGGCCAATGGGAAATTTGGCCAGGATGCCGGGGTTACACCCTACTCTTTTCGAGAAACGCCCTGGGATTTTTAATGACCACAGAGAGTCAGGATCTCGGTTTTACGTCTTTACGCTGCTCCAGGTGAGGTAGGCTATTTCAGCCTACTTCTGTTGCAACCCACCATGACTTCTGCTAAATCTTTTTCTAGATCTCTTCATCATTCCTTCTCCTCCTCCCTCGGCTACTTGTCCTCTTCTCTCACCGAACCAGCATTCCGTCTCTTCGCAGCGATCTGTTCCAAGACCAGGCTTTCTAACCACCTCCTATTCCTTTACAGATGTCATCGACATAATGTCATTCCTAAAGGATTTCATCTGAAATGTAACACTTTTTTTCTTTGATTCTGACACCACCCAGAGTAACACGCAAAGACTTCTAATAGTCTTCTAATTCTACAACAGTTTTTGAGGAAACTTATGCTTTCTATTATTTTCTCCTTCAAACAGATAACCCTTTCTGACACACCCGAAGAAGGCTCCACCCCCAAAACATTGTGTTTCTTTTCTTCTCTTTTCAGCATGGAATAAACCTTTACTTGTTCCGCAGCTGCCTACTTGAACTAAAATGTACCAACTGTAATCAAGGTAACAGGAGATGTTATTCAGAAACCATTGACAAAACACTCAAGACAGGGGTCATACTCAGGAAGTATTTCTACAGTATTGCTGCATATTTAGTCATACATTTGCAGATTATACCAAATTAGGAGGACCACTAAACACTGTACATTTGGGAACCCTAAAACATTTGCCACAAAGAAGAAGTTGATATTCAGAGTTGAGGATGTGGGAAATGATCTGATAAAAATTTTCCTGCCTGTTTGATTATGTATTTTTCAAAGATTGTCTGCAGGGAGGGGTGCTGTTTCACCCCCATGACCTTCAAAGCTGTCTGGATGAGGTGGGTAATTTGCGATTTAAAATCAACTGATAGATTACCAAATCACACTGAAATACCATATCTGATAATGCGTTTGATTACAGCATGGTAAAGGAGTAGCATTACTTCCTGTCAAACCCCAAACACTTTTAGTCTTCGCGGAAATATAAGCGCTGCTGAACTTTGGAGCAAACACTCTCAACATGAGTAGACCAGCACAGGTTACGGTCTGTGTGTACACCTAAGTACTTGTATGAATCAACCTGAGTGATACTTTAAGTTCGTTGTGGATAACTACCTGTGAGTGATCACCAACTGTTCTGGGATCGAAAACTATTTCTTTTGTTTTTTTAGCATTCAAAATTAAGCTATTGTTGTCACACCATTGCACAAATCTTTGGATTTCTGACATGTATACAGGTGAGCTGCTACCTCTATGCATTAAGCCAAGAACAGCTGTATCATCTGAGAATTTGAAAATGAAGTTGTTTTGACTACAATCATTTGTATAAAGCGTGAAAAGAACTAGAGAGCTAACACAGCCCTCAGGGGCACCTGTGCTAATAGATCGTGACTCAGAAAGAGTTTTGTTGACCCTGACATACTGTCTGCGATTTGTTAACGGACATTTGCTTCAACTTACTTATCAATAGATGGATCTGCAGCATATTAAATTCAGAGCTGAAGTCCACAAACAGCATCCGAGCATAGGCATTGGGGTCCTCTAGGTGTTTTAGAACAAGATGCATAATGTTGTTGATTGCATCATTGGTGCCCCGCCGGTGTTTATATGCAAACTGATATGGATCCAGTACAGTGTTCACTTCTGAGCACAGCATGGATACTATAAACCTCTCAAAGCATTTCATCACAACAGACATCAGTGCTACCGGCCTGTGGTCATTGTTATCTGAGGGACAGGGCTTTTTGGGCATAGGCACGATTATTGCTTTTTTCCACAGTGCTGGAAGAGCAAAGAGAAGAGCAAACAGAAACATTCTGGGGCTGAAGGGGATGTCCTCTCCTGACAGGCTCAAAGGCACAACAGAAAAGACTATGAGGAGACCTAATACAAGAATTGAGTATATAGCACAATCCTGAAAGGCACTGAGTGTCAAGCATTTGAATTTCTTCAAACCTGGGGTTAGAAGTGGAAGTCAAATGAAAGTTTATAACCAAGAAGGGGAGGCACATCTTTAACCCAAGGGGTGTGACAGTTTGGACCAAGATACCCATCCATGTTGTTGAAGCTGATACCTTGGTGTCTTTCAAGAAATGGTTGGATGAGATCCATGGAGAAATGAGCTACTACCAAATACACAAGGAGAACACACTAGCTCCACAAATTAATTAAGATTTAATTATCGTATTAATACTCTCCTGAAGTAATTTAATTGGTTGGACACATCTTAAATCTGACTTCACCGAGATTAGAACTACACTTCTATCAGAGCAATGGAACGATCATGTATTTTTATAAGGGCAAGCCTGCAGACCTACTGCTCCACCTAGAGGAATTAAATTGTTCACCTAGTTCATACCCAAACCCATTCACAGTATACAATATTATTCATAAATAGCTGTAACAGGAAATTAATACTAATTTCTTTTAACTAACTAAAATAACAAAAAAAAAACAATATTGCTACCCCCTTTTTATCATTTAAACTTATACTTATATACTTAAACTTATACTTATAACTAAGTATAATAAGATAGTATTATGTGTAGAATATATAGTGCTCTTCATTCCACAGGATCTCAAAGTGCTCCACACACAGGAGGGGACCCACTTCACTCCCCAGACAGACCCACTGGGTGACACAGCTGCCTCACTGCAGAGTAGAGAGAGAGTAGAGTAGAGGTAGAGAGAGAAAGAAATTGCATCAATGGTTGCATTAAAGAGGAATTTTGGGCAGGCCAAATTAGTTCAAGGCCAGAATGTAATTTAGAGAGGACACCAGGTCACAACCTTGCGCTTTCCAACAGTGCCTTGGAATCTTTAATTAAAGGTCAGGATGCCTGTTTAACATGTTATCTGACAGTGTCTCTGGTAAACATACTGGTCACTGGTATTATGAGGATATTGTAAGAAACCTTCATTTCATGTTTAACCTGAAGTGGAATTAATGAAGTAATTTAATAAATCAATGTAATAAACCTTTGGATGTTCTGGTCCCAGAGGAAGTAGCACAACCTACTGGGCCACTAACACTATTTACAGCAGCAGACTGGTATTCAATAGAGGCCCGCCTTCCTTGTACTGACCAGTCCCAGTCTGTCTTAACTTCTGA